AAGCTTTGGGAACCTGCACCCACATGGGAGACCCGGAAGAAGCTCCTGGCTTCGGATTGGCTCAGCTCCAGCCATTGCGGCTGCTTAGGGAGTGAATAATTAGATGGAAGAACTTCCTGTCTCTCCTCCTCTCTGTATATCTGCCTTTCCAACAAAAATAAATAAATCTTTAAAAAAAATAGAGCAGGGGTCAGCACTGTGTTGAAGTTGGTTATGCTGCCATTTGCAACAGCAGCATCGTATATCTGAACATTGGTTTAAGTCCTGTGTACTCCACATTCTGTCTAGCATCCGGTTAATGTGCCTGTGAAAGCAGCACATGATGGCCCAAGTATGCTGGGCCCTGCTAGCCATGTTGGAGACCAAGATGGAGTATTGTTTGTCTGGCTTCATCCTGGCCAGCCCCAGGATATGCAGTCATTTGGGAAGGGTACCAGTGGATGAAAAATTGATCTCTCTCTCTTTCTCACTCTGTCACTCTCTCTGCCCATCTCCCTCTCAAATAAATTTTCAAAAATTTAAAAGTTAAAGAGTTCATTCTACTGAAAATTTGCATTGAGGAGTAAATGTTCATCCTAGTGGTTAAGATACAGTTAAAAGGCCTATGCATTGATCAGGTGCTGTGGTGTAGCCAGTAAAAGCTCCTCACCTGTGGTGCTGGCGTACAACATAGAAGCTGGTTCAAGTCCCATATGCTCCACTTCTGATCCAGCTCTCTACTAATGTGTCTGTGAAAACAGCAGAGGATGGCCCAAGTGCTTAATAATTAAACATTAAACCCAAGGAAAAGCAATGTAAGAATTAATAAAGAAAAATGCAGAAATTTTAAATAAGACAGTGGAGCCAACTATCAAAAACAGATTCTTGGAAAAAATTATACAATGGACAATTTTGCATCGATTATCAATCACAAAAGAAAAAACAAGTGATATTAGGTAAATACTATTGTATAAAGAGTTAAATATAAAACATAAGTAGTACTACCACTTGGCAGATGAAGAATGATTTCTATGTAAACATATATTTCATCTAATAAACTCAGGAGTAATGATATGATTATAAAATTAACATAGTGTAATCCTCAATTTATTGAACAAATGTGTTAATCTTGAATACAAATTCTAGTCCCACCTACTGTTTCTGATCCAGTCCTCTGCTTATGTGCCTGGGAAGTGAGGGGAAAACAGCCCAAGCACTTTGTATCCTACCACCTACTTAGGAGACCCAGATGGAGTCTGGAGTTCCTGTTTTTGGCCTGGCCCAGCCCCAGCTTTTTCTTGCCATTTGGGGAGTGAACCAGCAGATGAAAGATTGATTTTTTTTTTTCTGTCTCTGTCACTCTGCTTTTCAAATAACTAAAATAAATATTTTTTTAAAAAAAAAACAGTTGAACCAAGTCCATCCACACAGAGTCCAGGGGCATGTAAATAGGGCAGGTCCAAGACAGCAGAGAGTACAGTCAGTGCCTAAGGAATGTAAACAGGGGATGACATAAAGGAAACACTGATAGATTTAAAAGCATGTGATCATTTAGTGAGGTACAACAAACAATTTTGGGGAAAAAAATCAACACAGAAACAATTAATAGTATTTAGCAAACTAATAATAGAAAACAACCCCAATTTTAAAGGTTTATTTTTATTATGTTTTTATTGGAAAGGCGGATATACAGAGAGGAGAGACAGAGAGGAAGATCTTCCGTCCGATGATTCACTCCCCAAGTGAGCGCAACGGGCCGATACTATGCCGATCCAAAGCCAGGAGCCTCTTCCGGGTCTCCCACGCGGGTGCAGGTTCCCAAAGTTTTGGGCCGTCCTCGACTGCTTTCCCAGGCCACAGGCAGGGAGCTGGAAGGGAAGCGGGGCTGCTGGGATTAGAACCGGCGCCCATATGGGATCCCGGGCGTGCAAGGCGAGGACCTTAACCACTTGCGCCACCGCGCCGGGCCCAACAACTCCCATTTTTAAAAATGTATGCAGGGGCATTTCCATTAATGTAAAAAAGAAGTTAAAGCAGTATTCTGCCAGAATACACATCCAGAATCTAAAACCATAAAAAGGAAGAAATATCCAAAAGAAACATAAAATGGTAAAATATAATCCTTTTAGAAAACTCAAAGAAAAGCAATGTATTATTAAAATAAGTAAGCGAGTCCTTTGTAAATTTTACTCTAGTAAAACCAAGAGTCTTGGCACACAAATAATAGAGCATATATAGAATATGTTTGTTACTGTGAGTGGGAAAAATTAAAGTGAGTTTCACTATGTAAAAAAAATGTATTTTTTAAACATTGTTTCCTTATTTTCCACGGTAGAATTTTGTAGGTATAGGGCCCCCTCCCCGTTCCCTCCGCTTGCTCTCTTCCCTTTCTCCCCTTCTCATTGTTAAATAAAGATCTGAGGCTCAGAAAGTTACACATCTGCATCCTCTCTGTGTAAAGTATATCGTTGGAAAATTTCCTAAAGTCTAAATTTGGCTACTAAAGTGGGCACACAGTCACTGAATTTTTTGTGACAGTTAGTACCCATCCCGAGGCCCTTCATTTGTGCCACGGCTTCTCCATCACACATTACACATGGGAAATAATTCACTATTTCTAAGGGTTCAAGTTTAGAAACTATCCACAGCTCACAGGGAGGTGACATTCCCCACAGGAGCCTATAACAGTGAACTATGAGGCAAAATATGGATATGCCTCCGAGGAGAGAACTTAGGGTACTACTACCCATTAGGTAACACAGGCAGCGCCACAAAACAACGCCCCTGGATGGTCCCCCTCCCTCGCCTGCCCCCCCCCACTCTCCCTGCCCCGCCCCACTCTCCCTGCCCCGCCCCACTTCAAGCCACGGCCACAGTGAAAATTCCCGAGAAAAGCTACCGGATGTTGTCCAGCCTGACTTCCGTTTTTGGTGTTGGATCCCCCATCTTATCGCCGGAGCGGTAACGCGGGAAAGCAGTAAGGACCACGCGGTAAGGACTTTGGATTTTGTGTAAGGGGTTCCTCTATGTCCAGAAAGAAAACTGTAGAATCTCATCCCTGCCGCTAGCCTTAAAAGGCCTTGAGAAGGGGTTGTTTGATCTTTTGCCCTTCGAAGTTATCTTCTGGGGACTCAGAGGTGGAAAAATTAAACCAAGCTGTTAAGCTAAAAACCAGTGATTGGATGTTAATTAGCTCAGGGGCATCCCTCCTCCCCCATAGCCGAAGGATCCCTACAGACAGCGGCAACTGCTGTTAGCGTTGGGGGACCAAACACGGGAGGTTGGACATGGCGTACACCAGCTCCGCCCTGTAGCAGCTCCAGGAGTTAACGGTATCGGACAAGTGTCAGCTTCAGAAGTCAATGAACTGTCCCTTGTAGGAGCTGTGTGATAAAATTCCAGAACAGTGGAGAGCTTACTGAGCGTCATCCTTTCTATTGGCCCTGGGAGGTTCCTGGCCTAACTGTAAGGCCCAAGTGTTCTGGAGGCAAAGGGGGCAGAAAGGGCCGTAAGAGTCTGGGTTCAAGGAATGAGTCTGGGATAGCTAAAGAAGATGGTGGAAGTGCAGGGGGCAAGAGAGATGGGTGGGAAAGACAGACTACGGAGGGGGCACTATGGGAGGAGGAGCCACGAGGTTTGGGGGCGTGGAATGCTCCTGAATACGGGCATGGGGAGGCGTGGCTTGGAAAGGGGTGGAGCTGTTAGGGGCTGCTGTGGATAAGGGGTGGGAGGAAGAGGCGAGGGGGGAGGGGGGAGGGGACGCTGCCGTGGTGAGAGGAGTAACAAGAGCACTGGGAAAGGAGGTGGGGGCCCATCATTCAGGCAAATCCAAGGAGAAGTTTTGAGGTTGCCTGTAGTTAAGTTTAGAATTCTGAGCAGTGGTTCAGGGTACTTTACTCACCCACGAAGTACCGAAGCCACTACTGTAAGGCCTAATGGCTCATCATCATCAGGGCTGTCAGGTTAAGATATCACTTATCCAATCTGTAATTGTCACAGGGGTATGATGGTCTTGGTCGGACAGGGCAGTGTCTGATGGTTAAAGGGAGGGTAATGCAAGTCCTCTCTGAAATTCAAAGTGCAGACTGAGGAGTACAGGTCCTGCCTTTGCGGACAGTTAGGTGTAGCCCTGATAATATCTCATTCTGTCATCCTGACTGTACCCCTTCCCACAACTGACCACCCTGAATGCTTTGTAATATGAAATGCATGGGAGTCTTGGTTGATTGCTAGACACCTCAGGTCCACAGAGTGGATGGTACCAGGCAGTATATAGGTAAGGAGATCATGAACTTGGATATTCAGAAGAACATAGGAGTTTCTCAGAGGCTTACACAAGCTGCCCTTCCAGGCTGGGCAAGATGGGGTGTCTTTAGGAAAGGCCTCACTATTTTCCTGCTCGGGAGTCTCAGAGATGTTAAGGCCTTGCTTTAAGGAGGGCACCTCAGGTCAGCTGAGAAAAGGAGAATGAGGCTCTACATGGAGCTAATGTGAGCACTGAGCATTCTAAATCCCCCCAGGGATGAAAGGGGCTCACAGAACTCAGCAGTTGCTGCCATACCAGTGTCCTCAGGCATATGTGATTTGATCAGGTGCAATTTCCCTCAAATGCTCGCTCAGGCAGTCAGACATGTGAGAATATGGACAGGAGGAATCAGCTGCAAAGCAGGTTGTGCAGTCAGTGATGGTCCTAAGTGTGAATTGACAGAAATAATCCCCAACACCAGAACAGAGGTGTCTCCACAGGGTTGGATGAGCAGATAGTGTCAGTGCGCAGTAAAAGGCAGAGCGAGCTGTCCAGCTGCAGCCATAGGCACACTGTAATTTCCATAGAGAGAAGTGAAGCTGGGGGGTTCTTGAGAAGTGCACTCAAGGAAAGCTGCAGAGGTTTCCTATGATAGATTTCATATGGTATCTGTATTGCAACAGGGATCACACCATCCTGTTCTCATTGTTCCAGGCCAGTGCATCTGCTGTGCTCTGTCCCATACTACTGCCTGCTATCTCTGACGAAAGTCATCATGCCCCGGGGTCAAAAGAGTAAGCAGCGGGCCCGAGAGAAGCGCCGCCAGGCCCAGACCCAAGGAGAAGAATCAAAGGATGGGGAGCATGCACAAGCCACCGTAGTAGAAAAAGAAGAGTCACTCTCTTTCTCAGCTTCCAATACCAAATGTAGTATCCAAGGGCCACCTGCTGCTGGAGCACCTGGCACTGAGCAAAAGCCTGAAAGAGCCACTGGTGCTGTTGCAGCTGATTCACACACCAGCAGCCAGGTTGGCAGAAAGCCAAATGCCCAAGGTGCTGCTAAGCATTTGCAAGGGGGCCCTCTAGCAGAGAAGGTTGCCATGCTGGTACATTACCTGCTCATAAAGTATCAGCTGAAAGAGTCTGTTACCAAGTCTGATATGCTGAAAAATGTAGTCCAGACATACAAGAATCACTTCCCTGAGATCCTGAAGAAAGCTTCGGAACGTCTGGAGCTGGTGTTTGGCCTTGATCTTAAAGAAGTGGATCACAACAGAAGCATTTATGTCCTGGTCAACAAATTGGAGGCCAACTGCAACACAACAGTGAATGAGAGCAGTGGTGTGCCGAAGACGGGCCTGCTGATGATTATCTTGGGTGTGATCTTCACCAAGGGCAACTGCGCCGCTGAAGAGCAAGTCTGGGATGTGCTGAGTATGATGGGAATATATAAAGATAGCATTCACTTCATTTTTGGGGATCCGAAGAAGGTCGTTACTGAAGATTTGGTGCAGGCCAAGTACCTGGAATACCGCCAGGTGGCGAATAGTGATCCTCCACGCTATGAGTTGCTGTGGGGCCCAAGATCTTATGCTGAAACCACCAAGATGAGAGTCCTTGAGTTTTTGGCCAAGATCCATGATACAGTGCCCAGTTCCTTTCCAACCTGGTACGAAGAGGCACTGAGAGATGAGGAAGAGCGAGCCCAAGCCCGAGTTGCAGCCAGGGCTCGCATTAGTGCCATAGCCAGTGCCCGTTCCAAGGCCTTGTCCAGCAGCTTGTGCCCCAAGTAAAGGCCAAAGAAGATACTTTACTGTTTTTGAAGAGGACAATTAATGTTCTCCCAAGTAAAGTATCAGTGAGGGTGGCAATACTAGTGCCCTAATGTGTGTTCCTCTTTTAGGTAGTAACTTAGAAATTTGTTTAAATGTTGTATCTTTTAATAGAAAGCTTATGTAACTTCAGAATTCAAGTTTATATAAGTCATATACTTATTGGTGTTCAAATGTTTTAAGAGTGTGAATTTTACTGTTTTATATAACAGATTTGAAAAATTCCCTTCTTATTTAGTAATGCCAGGTAAGATAACATAGTAGTAGAAATGTGAAAGTCTTTAGCAGCAAAACAATTAGGATCAGAAAGAAGTAAAAGATGAAAGTTCTGGCAATGTGTTTCATTTTTAGTCTGATTTATGAAAGTAAAGATGTACTTAGATGTGATTAACTTACATAAGAATGTTGGAGAAGTTAATAAATTATGTTTCTTTTACACTCTCTCCTTTATTTCTCAAACATAACTTAAAAATCTGCTTTTTGGAGGACCTGAGTTACTGTTAGGCAGGGAGAAGGGCACGGGCCTATGTGTATGAGGAAAATAAGGCAGTGTACGAGTTTAAGGGACTGTGATGCCTTGAAACAAAGCCAGCCCACATCAAAAGTCCTGTCCAGTAACATCACAGGGGAGGACCTGTGCTTTGGAACCTTCCTGTCCCTGTCTGATAGCAGTGTAGGGGAGAGCCTGCACCTTGGAAACCTCTTGTCTGATAAGTAGAGTCCCGTGCCTGGAAGGCTTGCTGGTTAACATTCCAAAAGCAGGGTGGGGGAGAAACATTAGAAGAAATCTGAGAAATCTGTTCTGGTTTCCGGTGCGGTGGTCTAGCAGCTAAAGTCCTCGCCTTGAATGCGCCAGGATCCCATATGGGCACCAGTTCTAGTCTGGCAGCTACACTCCCCATCCAGCTCCCTGCTTGTAACCTGGGAAGGCAGTCCCAAAGCCTTGGTACCCTGCACCCACATGGAAGGCCTGGAGGAAGTTCCTGGCTCCTGGTTTCAGACTGACGTAGCACCAGCTGTTGCAGTCACTTGGAGAGTGAATCATCAGACAGAAAATCTTTCTGTCTGTCTCTCCTCCTCTCTGTATATCTGACTTTGCAATAAAAATAAATAAATCTTTAAAAAAAGATATCTGCCCTGTACCCACAACCTGCCCCCCCCCCCAAGTGCTAACAAAGGTCCCTCAGTTTTCTGCCTTGCCATCCTTTTCTGCTTGTCAGGTAAACTTCATTGTGCTTTGTCTGAACTCTTTGCTTGTGAGAAGACAAAGACCACTACTCCAACTAACCAAGGACACTCAGCAGCTGGTCTGTCTCCCCTGAAGAAATTAGGGATGGTCCCAGCAGCTTCTGAGCCCTCGCTGTCCCTTCCCTCCCACCCCCACCCCCCACTCCCACCCCCAGCCTACCTGCCCAGTGATGCAGCCATAGCTCTTAGTGGATTTAAGGAGAAGTGTGGATTTGAGAAGTGCCAAACAGGTGTCTTGCATCCTGTGCCCAGTGTACTTAAGCCCAGTGCACAAACGATGTGTTTAATGCAAATCAGGTTCAGGGAGTTTCTGAGAAATGAATGATACCACTGCCATGGGTGTGCCCAGAAGGCACTCTGCTGATAGCATTTGCTGGGGTTTGGAAGAGACGAAGCTCTCTACATATCAAATACCCACTGTGTTTTATTGGGTTGTCTCAGATATACTTTGGCAAACTTTAAGTGAACACTAAATTTGAAGAAAAAAAAGTACTCATTTATTTGAGAGGCAGAGGCGGGGGAGAAAAAATAGAGCTCCCATCCACAAGTTCATTGCCCAGATGCTTATAATGGCCAGCACTGAAGTCAGACTCCGGGGAGGCACTCCCAAGTATCCCATAAGTGGCAGGAACCCAATAAATTGAGACACCATCCACGTCTCCTGCAATCTGCATTAGTAATAGGGAAGCTGGAATTAAGAACTGCAGCCTGGAGCCTGGCGCAGTGGCATAGCATGCTAATCCTCCACCTGCTGTACCAGCATTCCTTGCAGACACAGGTTTTAATCCCTGCTGTTCCACTTTCAATCTGGCTTCCTGCTTGTGGCTTGGAAAAGCAATAGAGGATGGCACAAAGCCTTGTGACCCTGCACCCACATGGGAGACCTAGAAGAGGCTCCTGTCTACTGGCTTCAGATCAGCTCACCTCTGACCACTGTAGCCATTTGGGCATTTGGGGAATGAACCAGTACATGGAAGATCTCTCTCCCTCTCTCTTATCGCTCTCTCTATATAATTCTGGCTTTCAAGCAAAACTAATTAAATCTTAAAAAGAAGAAAAGGAAGAACCGCACCCTAGAACTAAACCAGGCACTCTAAGATAGGATGGCAACTTTTTATTTTTTTAGATGTATGTATTTGTGAAGCCGAGTGATAGCAATAGAAAGAAAACTTCCATCTGTGGGTTCACTCCCCAAATGGATGCTATGGCCCTGTACTGATCCAGGCAAAAGCCAAGAGCCTGGAACTGTGTAAGTGTCTCCCACGTAGGTAGCAGTGATTCTGTTGGGCCGGTGAAGATACCAACTTCCCCCACCACACTCTTTGCCCCTCTAAAGCACTCAGTGTCATGGTAACCAACAGGGCCACATGCTTGGCTAGCTGCACTGTTAGGCAATTGTTTGGTTCTGGGGCCACTGTTTTCTGTAAGCCCATATAAACATCTGGGGGGAGGGCATGGGTAGTTGTGGCTGTTTGTGGTTGGACAGTGAGATGTGTACACAATTATGTGTGTGTATGTATGCAGATATCTGCGTGTGAGTCTGATTGCCTGCAGCAGTAAGGCAGCTATATCCTGTAGCCTTACTGCTATTAGTGGCCGGTGACTCCCTTATGCATTTCTCACCACCCCTGTCAGTAAAAGATGCAAAGCCTTAAGCCCTGGGAATACAACAGTTTTGGTGTTGCTAGCAAGATTTCTTTCAGGACAGTATGAAATTGTTAGCTCCCTTAAAGGGTAGAATTTAGGGATGACTAACCACAAGTTATGTGGTATTGGTGGCTATGGCCTTGTGAGCTAGGGTGCTCCCCCGGCCCCCGGTGGGGGGGCTTCCCCGTTTTTATAGTCAATGCATTGGATGTGTTCAGAAAGATTTCCAAGCAGGGAAACAGGCAAAAACGGGCCTCCAGGTGGATCTTCCTGGTTGTCTTGTTAGGAGGCAATGCCAGACCCCAGGCTGACACCTGAGGATGGGTCCTCTTTGGCTGCCTTAGAAAAAGCAAAAATGGATCAAAGGGATGCCTAGATAACAGTTGATACTGTGTTACAGGTCCATCTCACTGCCTTTTAGGCAGAAGATAATATTGAGTTGCACCAAAGTGCCTTACTTTAAAAAAAAAAAAATAAAGAAAGAAAGAAAAAGAAAAACAACCACTAGGAGCTCCAGCCCTCGAGGCGCAGACCCGCACATTCCACCTCCCCTCCTTCAGTGGGAGGGCTGGGAATGGGAGGAATGAGAGATCTTGACTAAGACAGCCCTAGTGCAACAACAGGACTGAAACACCTGGGAAAGGAAACAAAGAACCAAGGAAAGGCAGGCATGACTCAGCTCCAAAGCTGCTGAGCTGCTGGCAGCCTCGGAGAGTGCATGAGGGCCTGAGCCAGGGAACCCACCTGGGGCTGAGCAGAACACCTTTGTTGCAAGCCCTGAATCCTTGGCAACATTTGTGGGTGGCTAGGAGGAACGTATGGTCCTCTGCAGTCCCCATTGACCCTGGCACTGCCTTGGGATCCATGATAGAGCCCCTTTCAGAGCCCTGGGATCAAGCACCTAGGCTTGTAGCATGTTCTCCACTCAGTGGGGAAACTCCACTCAGCTGTGTGGGGCTGTGGGCTGCACTCTCCCCTCCCCCACTGGGCACCAGGCTGGACATACCCCTAGGGGCTTCCGTGCTGACGTGAAGGGGGAACCCAAGGCCATGGAGAAGGTGTGCACCAGTTAGTGCTGCACCCCACCCTGCCCCCAGGGTGGGGAGTAGATGGTGACAACTGGTGATGGCTCAAAGAGCCCCTAGGCAAAGTGTTACTACTACAAAGAGGGTGAGCATGCTCCTAAGGAAGAGGGTACATGGCCAGAGAGCATCCTAATGAGGGGAACACCAGGCCCTTCATCACTGGGAGGCAGTGGGCCAGGACCCCCCTGAGAAACAAAATCCAAAGCCCAGGCAGCACACAGCTAGATCAAAGGGTGATGCTGAAATTGCTGGAGCCCAAAACAGCTGGGCTGTGGGGTGGTGGGGAGGAGACAGAGAAGACAGCACAGCTGACAGGAGCTGGAGAAGGAAGAGAATGCCATCCCAGGCCTGGTGGGAGAGGTCACTGCCCCTCCCCCCCATTAGGCTATGGCAGCATCGGAAGACAACTTGGCAATTGTAATGGTTAGCATACATATAGTGTGTGTGTGTGTGTGTGTGTGTGTGTGTGTGTGTGTGTGTATTATATATAGTAAGGACAATACTAAGCCTCCAATGTTAATCAAAGCTTCTGAGTCCATCCACTTAGGGCAATTATGTAATATAAAAGTGTATGGCATTCTACTCTTGGGGCTAAACCCTATACAGTTGGTTCTCTGGCTGTGCCCTCAGCCTGGTGGCAATGGCACAACACCACCTTATGTCATGTTTTACTGGAAAATGAGAGTAACCTGTGACTCTCAGATTTGAAAGCATTTATGTTCATTTTTATGAGCCATTTAGAGCCACCCCTTGAGAGATGGTAGACTTTGGACTTTCAACCCAGTCACACAGAAACAATCTGATGGCTACAAATGTCCTGGTGGGTCAGATATCTTTGTAGTGGTGACCAGGCAATCATTTTGGTGGATGTGCCCTGGGTTGCTTGTCAGCTTTGCAGCTAGGCTGCCTTAAAAGGCCTTGGTTATGAAAGCACACTTAGACTCAAGCAGAGACTAGTACAAGAATAGTACAATAAA